TCGAGCTGAAAAAGCGCTGCATTCACAGTACATTTTTCGACCTGGCTGCTCCGGACGCCTCACAGCTTCCTAGCTCAAAAAAGCGCTGAATTCACAGTACATTTTTCGACCTAGCCGCTCCGGACGCCTCCAGACTTCCTAGCTGAAAAGCGCTGAATTCACAGTATATTTTCGACCCTGGCTGCTCTTGATCGGCCTCTGACCCATCCCTAGCCAAAAAAGCGCTGCATTCACAGTTCATTTTTCGACCTGGCTGCTCTTGATGGCCTCACAGCTTCCTAGCCAAAAAAGCGCTGAATTCACAGTACATTTTTCGACCTGGCTGCTCTTGATGGCCTCACAGCTTCCTAGCCAAAAAAGCGCTGCATTCACAGTTCATTTTTCGACCTGGCTGCTCTTGATGGCCTCACAGCTTCCTAGCCAAAAAAGCGCTGCATTCACAGTTCATTTTTCGACCTGGCTGCTCTTGATGGCCTCACAGCTTCCTAGCCGAAAAAAGCGCTGCATTCACAGTACATTTTTCGACCTGGCCGCTCCGGACGCCTCACAGCTTCCTAGCCAAAAAAGCGCTGAATTCACAGTACATTTTTCGACTTGGCTGCTCTTGATGGCCTCACAGCTTCCTAGCTGAAAAAGCGCTGCATTCACAGTACATTTTTCGACCTGGCCGCTCCGGACGCCTCACAGCTTCCTAGCCAAAAAAGCGCTGAATTCACAGTACATTTTTCGACCTGGCCGCTCCGGACGCCTCACAGCTTCCTAGCCAAAAACGCCCTGCATTCACAGTACATTTTTCGACCTGGCCGCTCCGGACGCCTCACAGCTTCCTAGCCAAAAAAGCGCTGAATTCACAGTACATTTTTCGACCTGGCTGCTCTTGATGGCCTCACAGCTTCCTAGCTGAAAAAGCGCTGCATTCACAGTACATTTTTCGACCTGGCCGCTCCGGACGCCTCACAGCTTCCTAGCCAAAAAAGCGCTGAATTCACAGTACATTTTTCGACCTGGCCGCTCCGGACGCGCACAGCTTCCTAGCCAAAAAAGGCGCTGCATTCACAGTACATTTTTCGACCTGGCCGCTCCGGACGCCTCACAGCTTCCTAGCTGAAAAAGCGCTGCATTCACAGTACTTTTTTCGGCCTGGCCACTCCGGACGCCTCACAGCTTCCTAGCCAAAAGCGCTGAATTCACAGTACATTTTTCGACCTGGCTGCTCTTGATGGCCTCACAGCTTCCTAGCTGAAATTCGACTTTTTCGAATTCGACACATTTTTCGACCTCGATGAAAACCCGGAAAGAAGTCCTGCTAGATGTGGAAACAGTCCGAAGTGACGGTCTAGCTGCCCGTATCTCTCGGATCGTAGCCCCGGATAATGATGAGTCCCTGGTCCCTCCGATTAGTGCGTCGGAAGCGGAATTGTTGAATGACCTCCAGGAACAGCCAATATCCGGCTATTATTTCTTGGATGACGTGCTTCCGGTTGTGAATTGTCGCTAGCTTCCCCCCTCTCACTCTCTCTCTCTCTCGCTCGCTCCCTCTGTCTCTCTCTCTCTCTCTCTCTCTCTCTCTCTCTCTCTCTCTATATCTCTCTCGCTCTCTCTCCCTAACTCTTGCTCTATCTTTTTTCTCTCGCACCCACTCTCAATCTCTATCTCACGCCATCTCGCTCTCTCACTCTCGCTCCTTCTTTCTCGCTCTCTCGCTCTGCTCTCTCGCTTCGCCCCACGCTCTCTATCACAATTTCCTGCCCTTTTACGGTGTCTTTTGGTTTAATCCGTACTTCCAATTGCAGGCAATCCGAAAGGATGGGCCATCGACTTCAGCCAGTTTACTTGACCGCTAGACAGGTCTGAACAATTTTGAGATACCGATTAATGATATTTTTAAGGGCAAACAACTGTGGCTGTATGTCTCTCAACCATCCGAGGGTCGCGATGCAATTTGTGATGATCGGTTTAACAGAGTCTACGGGTTTGACAAGGATGATTTCTATTTGGTGGCGTTGAGAGAACGTATCGATTAGAGGATGAAGCCGGCCATTGTCAAGGTAACACATTCTCCTCATTGGGAGACCATCATAAAGCTTTCCACAAAATTTTTAAAAAGTGAAAATTCGAAAAACCAATACGTCCATTATGGTGTGCAGAATCTCAAGGTAATTTTTGGTATGGTTTTCCTTGTCCGTTAGCCTCGGAAGTAGCCCAATTCCAGGTGGAATTCCGAGCGCTAGCTCAGAACTTGTGCCCGATGGCTGAACTTCTTCGATTCCTCGTCAAAGGGGGCACGGTAATTGGAGAATACCTTTTAGACTTTTCAATATGCTTAAATTAAGTTAATTTCTTAGTTATGATTTTGCGAACCGTGAGAACCCAATTTTCTGTTTTTTTCCGGTAATTTACCGGTGTACGGTAGCTTCAATTGTCATTTTTTGGTCAAATCGATAAAATCCATTTACTATTTCCCGGCCGTGACCTTTCTTTAGAAATCTCGGTATTTCCAGAACGCACGGACCGCTACAACGAGTTCGTGCTCGGCATGACCGAGCGATTCTGGCAGAAGAGGAGGACAATCGTTTTTGAGCGCATTAGTTAAATTGGCATAAATCAATCATTTAAATGCGTACGAAACATTACTCAAATAATTTGCATAAAAATTGTCGATGGATCCATAAATTAACCAAATTTGAATTTCCGGTTGCCGCTAGGTCTGAAGTATGAAAAATTTATCATATGGCTCTACGCGTCATGGCCGACCAGTTGCAGGTAATTTGATGGGTTTTGGGATTTTGTACGATTGTATATGCAAATTGCCAATGGAAAACTGGTTATGTCAAAAAATATGCAAATTACAGCTGAAAATTTTTTTAGGAATCCGACGGCCTTCGCGAGCGCAAGAAGACGGTCCGTTTCAAGCCCGACGAGAAGCTGCCCCAGCGCAACAAGGCGATGAAGTCGAGTGAGAGCGAGAAGCTCGTCCAGCCCACCACCATTCACGCGTGGCGCGAAAAAATCGAGAGGGCATCGGGTATGGTAGTTTTACTCCTGCTCTCTCTCTTTCTCTCTCTCTCCCTCGCTTTCTCTCTTTCTCTCTCTCGCTCTCTGTCACTCTCTCTTGCTGTCTCTTTCACTAGCTCACTCTCTCTCCCACTCTCTCGCTCTCTCTCTCTAACCCTCTCTTTTCCAGATGACACTACCCCGCCGATTCCGAAGGAGCTGGAGAGCGCGTGGCAGGACTTCATCTCTCACTACTTCTCCATGTCGTTTCTGCTCACCATCGGTACAGTAATTGGCGGGGGGTTACGGTAGGAACAGGCTCAGGCTTACTTAGGTTTAGACTTGAGCTTAGTTAGGCTTGGGCTCCAGGCTCTAGGCTTCTTACCCTATTTCCCGACAACTTATCCAAATTTTTCGATTTTAGTCCTGCTGTGCGGCAACCTGGGCGCGTACATCTTCGCCGAGTACATCGAAAAGGACTGCTGGGTGCCGTTCTTCCTCCAGCTGACCGCCTGGTTCTTCCTCCAGGCCCAGGTCATCGGCAACGCGCTCGCCGTCCAATCGCAACGACAGTACGCTACACACCTCTTTACGCTGATTTTGTCGCTTTTTCAGCAAGAACTGCCCGATGTACCAGATGAATCGGCTCGGGCTGAATGGTAGAAATTTTTTTACTTTTTCTGTTTCTGATCTCGCTCTCTCTCTCTCTCTCGCTCTCTCTCTCTCTCTCTCTTGTTTAGGAAAACACAATCCTTTTGTAGCGAAAAAGCTGGCCCTCAGCTCGGACCGGAAGGCCACCATCGGCACCAAGGTGTACAGGGCATGGCGATACTGTAAGACATGCGAAAGGTATAGCTTTAGTTCTCTCTCTCACTCTCTCGCTTCAGGGTGGGGACCCGTTCTGTCCACTGCTACCTATTCGGAAAGTGTACCCTCCGCAGCGACATGGTCGGCTACTGTGTGGCTGTGCAGACGCAGGTACCGTATCCTGTCCTGCTCGATAAGGTTGTTCCCTTGCAGCGCTACTTCCTGACGATGTGCTTCTACATCACGGTGATGGGGCTGTGGGGCTCGATCGTGTCGTTCAGCTACCACTGGGACGAGATTGTCTACATGACGCCGTGGGTTTGAGGGAGTGAGCCTTCTGTACAGGGTGTCCCAAAAAAATCGACCCCCCCTCTAGCGGACCGCAGAAAGCTCGGATCGGAATGATTTTCACACCATTCGAAAGCCCTTCAAACGGTGAGAAAACAAGCGCCTTTGGTTTTCCAAAAAATTTTAGCCTTCGCTCGATATTCAATGATTTCTGTAAAAAGCGTAAAACCAGCATCGTCCTGTTTGCTTTAGCAAGCAATTAACATGCCGATTTTGCATAAAATCTGCAGTTTTCATCGATTTTGGCCCTAAATTTTATGAATTAAAATTCCCATATTGGAAAACGAAATGTGCTTGTTTTCTCGCCTTTTCGAGTGCTTTCGATAGATACCTAAATCGTCAAAATCGGACATGACTGCGGCCCGCTAGAGGGGGGTCGATTTTTTTTGGGACACCCTGTATACACTAGAGCTTTCTGTATAGACTACGTGATGATACTTTGGCGACAGTAGCATGCCCTACAACGGTGAATAAACCCCATCTTCGTCTAGCTACAGTACGATGAAGCTTACTAAATACATTACGTAGCAATACTTTAGCCACATAGCGCTACAATATTCTAGCTACCGTACGCTACAACTGACGCCAATCTCCCCTTTTCCAGGACCTGCTGGGACGACATTGTGTACGCGTGGGGTGTGCTGTGCGGCGTTCCCGGGCAGTTATGGCAAGATCCGGAGGGCTCGATCACACGCGCCTTCTGGGCGACTCTCTTCTATGAAAAGCCGCTCATCATCACCCTCCTCGTCACCCAGGTTGCCCTCCTCGCCGTCGTCAGCGGGATCACCTTCTTCTCAGAGGGGGTGCGTTTAAAAATAGAAGCGTCGAATTTTCTCAAAAAATTCCTCTGCTGGTTTTCCCCTATTTACTTTCTTTTTGCGCGTAATAATCAGAATTTGAAGACACCAGTTAATCTCCTGAAAAACTCGTGCTAGTTTGCCCTTCTGCTTTTCGTCTAAAAACACCGTTGAATTTCCTCAAAAATCCTTGCTAGTTAAGCTTTTGCCACTCAAAATGCAATTAATTTCCCCAAAAATCTCTGCTAGTTTTCTTAAGTGTCGGATTTTTAGATCTCGAACTTGTGCATCGGGCTGGCCCAAAAGGATCGCTATCACCCATCCCCCGGCGAGCAGTACCACTCGACTTTTGGTAGCTTGGCGTACCGCTTCAACTTACAATTTTTTCCAGTCGAACGCTACCTGTTCATGTTCGGCTCGATCCCGCTCGGGCTGCTCTGGCCGATTAAGCGGAAGTGGACTGGAAACTCTGCTGTACGTTGTTTTCGGTGTTCTCGTACTCGACTGTTTTGTCATTTTTTGGAATTTTTTGCTTTATTCATATTCTGGACGTTTCTATGCAAGAAACTTGCGAAGCCGCAATAAAAAAATTTCCAGTTTAAAAATTGCTTTTCTATAGAAAAATCTGATACAAAAACGGGGTATATGTCGGCTACGCGGGGGGGGGAAATTTTACGCGGAGGGGAGGGACAGGCAGGCCTTTTTGGATGTTTTCGTTATTTTCTCGGGATTTTTGCAACGGCATTCGATAGAGCATCGAAAAATATACTAAGAGTTTTTGTTTTAGCTAAAATTAGCGTAACATAAAAAAGTTATCGCAAAGACAAAAATAAGCTTTGAAAATCGGTTTGAGCCGCTGTTTTTCGATATTCGCGCTATTTTTTCGACATTTTAAAGATGCCATTCGATAGAGCATCCAAAAATATACTAAGAGTTTTAATTTTAGCTCAAAATAACGTAATATAAAATAGTTATAACAAAAACAAGTATTAAACGTTGTTTTCATGGAGGATATAGAAGGAAATCAAATTTTCGACATTTTCGACATGTTTACAAAATTTCTTTAATGCCATTCGACAGAGCGTCGAAAAATATACTAAGAGTTTTGTTTGTAGCAAAAAGAAACGAAAAAAAAATAGTTAGCTCGGCCCCAATAGTCCGTCCCCCCCGCGTAAAATTTCCCCCCCCGCGTAGCCGACATATACCCAAAAACGGAAACCGGATTCTGAATAAGTGAAAAGCCCTTCGCAAGATCGACATGCTTCCTTTTAGCATGCTCGGCCCGCCCGCTATCCGACGCGAATGTCCTTCTGCACATTGTTTTTCGTGGTCTTAACCCTTCCCGTGACGGACGCGGCGGATATGCTTCAATTTCGTACTGAAGTTTGCCAGGTAAATCCATATCTCTCTCTCTGTCCCTGTCTCCCTCTCTCTCTTTCTCTCTCTATCTCTCGCTCTCTCGCTCTCTCTCTCTCTCTCTCTCCCTTTCTCTGTCTATCACTCTCTCTCGCCCTCTCTCTCTAATCCGGTGTTTAAGTTGGGCCCGCTCTCGCTCGTGCTGCTGTCCATCCTTGTCGCTCATCTCTTCATTGGCTGTAGCAGCCGTCGAGCTGCTCGGATGGCGCACAAGCCAAGAAAGTCTGCGGGCAATACTCCGACCAAGGAAAATCCGGTAAATTCTCCAACTCCAATAGCACGATCTTCCGAAATGTTGAAATTTTCGTCTTTTCTGGCATGGGGCCGTGACGTATAATTGTTTTGAGGCACGATCACCAGCTACACCTTCACTCTGCTGCTCCACGGCCCCGACCAATTGGCAGCCACCGACCGATGTCAATCCTCCTGCGACCCGGGCCGCCTCCGTCTACCTGATCCCGGTGAGTTTACTACCAGTGGTACTGTTCAAACGGGCGGGGTGATTTACGCGGGGTGGTGAGATTTTCTGGACGGTTAGCGGGGCGGGGCGGGGGAACCCGCCTTTTCCCTGTGATTCTCCACCGCCCTATCACAAAATATAAACAGTTCATATAGCATTTACATAGTTTTTAGATCTACAACAAAATATTGAAAATAATAAAATTATTCGCAGATTTATGACTATGAATAATATATAAAATATCTACTATATATAAATTTCTAATGTCCGTCCGCCCGACCGAACGACCGGGAATTCAATCCCGCCGCGATCCCCCTGTCTACCGTAGTCAGGGGCTGAAAATTTTCACCGGAGCTCAACCGTTTCGCCTTTTCCCCCCGGGAGGGCCAGCGCTGAACCCCCGCGGAGCGGGGGGTCAGCGCTGGTAATTTATGAACTGTATTATGATAACTTACCAAAAAAAAGTCAAAATTTCGAATTTTCAAAATTGAAAAAATATTTTTAATAACTTGCTAGCAATCAAAAGCTGCTAATAACATTACAAAAACATTATATATCATCAACAGGTATAGGTGGACAACAAGAAGTGGTTTCCCTACTGCAAAGCATTCCACCCCTCCCCCCTCCCCCCGCTAACAGTCCAGAAACGGGCAAAAGCCCATTGATCTTTTCTTCTTTCAAGATTTTTTTTAAATTTTAGAATTTACGAACGGGAGCGCGACCTATAATTTTTTTTCAGAACGCCGAGCCACTCACTCCAAGACTTCCCGAGAAGGAAGCGGATGTTGCCACCCCGGTCAAAGGGCCTGCCAAGGCATCGAAGAAGAAAAAGAAGACGGAGCGTGACTACTTCGCAAAGGCAGGTTTTACTCGCCTGCTTTTCCCCGGGTGGTTCCTTAACGGCCGGGCACTAACCCGATCCTCTTTACAAGGAGTCGTTTTTAGGTGATATCGGCGCTTTTGGGGGCACCTAGCTAGTTCAATAGAGCAAAATCCTGCGAAAGAGTCCCCCAAATCTGCCAACCGTGCACGGTATTCGATCAAAATTAGTTTTTAGCTCTTTCGTATCGGGTACCAACTTTTTTCCGACAACTAATTTTTCAAATCATCTTCTATATTTTACACTAATTATTATTTATTTTCTATACTTTACACGATTCCGTACTAATTATTCTTGCTATTCAAATAGAGTTTCGAAATGGTTCTTAAACTTTTTCCTTTTTTTCAAAATTTATCCTGCTGGAAATTAAATTAAATTTTTAAATTAAGCCAATTCCTAAACGTGCAAATTTACAAATTTTTATGAAAAAATATTAAAAATATCGATTTTTCCACCGAAAATCGCCGATTTTTGACCAAGTTTCGACTTTTAAAATGTTCTACAAAGTTTTTCTGTTATATATTAGCGCTGAACCCCCACATAGTTTTGCAAAAGTTTTATGGGCGCCTGACTGGCCGCTAGGCCACCATCCCCGGCTGGCGCTGGATCACGCTGTGGGCTGTGTCAACCTAGCAGTTAGTGCTTTTTGTCTGGGGTGCTTTTTGGCAATGACTTCAATATATGAACTTTGACCAAATCAGAAGATGAACATCATCTTCGAGCAGTTCGCACCAGTCGACTCCAAACCGCTCGCAACTCATTTGGGGGTCGTTTGGTAGCATTTTTTTGAGGTTGTTCAAGGCGGCGGACGACTTCGAGACGTTTTTTTCTAACCGCCCTAGCCGGCTGAGCTAAGCTGCTCAAAAGCTGAAACTCGTTACATGGATAGAACTTTTCGCGCTCTTCCGAATGATGTACTTGGCACCCCAAAATACTTAATTTCAAGCGATATATGATGGTTTTACTGCTGCGATAACTTCGGCAAGTACGCCTTTCAGCACTAAAACGCTCCCCTCTCTGTCCCCAGAGGGTTTCTTGTAACGTTAAGTATACTGTTGGAAAGAGCGTGAAAAATGCCTCAATTTAGACACCTTGACACAACTTTAGTGTTGTGTCCAGGGCTGCTAGGGCGGTTAGAAAAAAACGTCTCGAAATTGTCCGCCGCCTTGAACAACCTCGAAGAAATGCTACCAAACGACCCCCAAATGAGTTGCGAGCGGTTTGGGGTCGACTGGTGCGAACTGCTCGAAGATGATGTTCATCTTCTGATTTGGTCAAAAAAGCTTAATTCATTTATTGAAGTCATTGCCAAAAAGCACCCTAGACAGCACCCCGAAAAACACCCCAATGGGGGCAGGGTGTTTCCCAAAGCACCCGGGTGCTTTTCAGGGCACCTAGGGAGTTTATCAGAGCACCCCGGGGTGCTCTTTTTGGGGTGCTGTCCAACACTACTGTACACGCTTAACAGATTTGAAAAACCACACCTTAATTAAAATTTTTCGATATTGAACTCGCTTCAAGGGGCTCCGAAATCTGGTCCACGGCCCCTGTGTTGATTCCTAGCAAATAGCCAGATGCGGCCGCAACGCGACCGCGCCGTATGATTTTTGCCCCTGTTTGAACGTATAGACGCTTGAATTTAAAAATTCTGCCGTTATTTCTGGAATCCTCATCGATTTTTGAGCGTACTAGACTTTTTAATTATGAAAATTGATCGGAGAATCACCGAGATCAAGCGATTGGGTTCCTTGCAAGGCATTAAGACGTAATCGCCGCGCACCCAAAAAGTCGTTTTCGCCCCGAAAACGTTTCGGTTATTCTCGAATATTTCGCGTTTTTTCGCAACGAAGTCGATTTTCTGGTACTTTTCTGTGGCAATTCTTTCCTTTTTTGACCAGTAGGTTCAACCCTGCACGCGCGATTTTTGACTTCCGAACCCCTTTAAAAACTCCAATATCGCCTGAAAACGACACCTTGCTAGCGGTTTTCCAACCCCGATATGCATAATGTTCTCGCAACGAGACACTATAAAAATGCATTACGTAGAACTGGACGATTGTGCAAAGGAAGAACAATAATTGGCTCTCCCCGTCCATCAAGCATCTCACTCATGTCATTTTTAGTGTCGATTCTGCTCGCAAGGCAAGCGCGAAACGGTCGGACAATTGGAACTCTGCGCAATTTGTACAACTCGGACGTTGTGGGCCTGTCTTTCCTTATTTTATCGTCCGTGTCTAGGGGCTGGTACCGTAACCCGAACGGGAAATGTGTGATGAGCAACTGCTGCGAGCTGTACTCGCTAGTCAAGGGAGACGAGTAAGCGTTGCATTCGTCACTTATGGGATGGCCTGTCTAAATTTTCATGAGCAGCTCAGTATATTCTGAATTCAGGTACCTCTGCGATTCGCCACAATTTCGTCCCCTCATGATATGTCTCGGTAATGTCGTCTTTCTGCTTTGATGATCGATTCAATTTCTAGTGTCACGGTGCCCGAGCTGTTGGTATGATGCGCTCCTTTACGTCCACGTACAACTGCTCCAGCAGTACAGGATTCAGCGAGATTCGGAGGCCAAGAAAAAAGCCGAATCAGATTAATACTTGTCTTTGACTCCTCGCATGTGATTTGTGGCCCCTTGGAGCCAGAATTTTTGCCGTCGGCAAAGTGATGCCACGAATAAACTCTCTCTCTCTCTCTCTCTCTCTCTCTCTCTCTCTCTCTCTCTCTCTCTCTCTCTCTCTCTCTCTCTCTCTCTCTCTCTCTCTCTCTCTCTCTCTCTCTCTCTCTCTCTCTCTCTCTCTCTCTCTCTCTCTCTCTCTCTCTCTCTCTCTCTCTCTCTCTCTCTCTCTCTCTCTCTCTCGCTCTCTCTCTTCTCTCTCTCTCTCTCTCTCTCTCTCTCTCTCTCTCTCTCTCTCTCTCTCTCTCTCTCTCTCTCTCTCTCTCTCTCTCTCTCTCTCTCTCTCTCTCTCTCTCTCTCTCTCTCTCTCTCTCTCTCTCTCTCTCTCTCTCTCTCTCTCTCTCTCTCTCTCGCTCTCTCTCTCTCTCTCTCTCTCTCTCTCTCTCTCTCTCTCTTTTGCCGTCGGCAAAGTGATGCCACGAATAAACTCTCTCTCTCTCTCTCTCTCTCTCTCTCTCTCTCTCTCTCTCTCTCTCTCTCTCTCTCTCTCTCTCTTTCTCTCTCTCTCTCTCTCTCTCTCTCTCTCTCTCTGTCAGAATTCAGAAAAAAACAAGCGTTTCGAACTCCCAAGAGGGGGCTAAAGGCGGTCGCGCGCAGCGCGGTCGCGTTGCGTTGGCCTTGAGCCAGGCATCAACTAACAAAGAAGCGGACTGAGCCAAGGCAATTTTTGGGACGCTTTTCTGGTGATTTCTCTCTGTAGTTTCGAGTCTTGGTAACATCATTTATTGAGAACCGCTTGGAGGACATCGTCGGCGCTCAGAAGC